CAGACTTAACTCAGGCTTAACTGAACCCAGGTTTCAGTGAGCTAACTGTGATCAGCTGCAGTGAAACCACTCTCCGGGTTAAGACTTTAACTCAGAGTTCCGTGAGCCCGCTTCAAGAACCGGACCCTGGCTCTTCAGATTCTGGTTTGAACCTGGACTAGTTCTACTAACAGTGAGATCGGAGTTAATTCAGTGTGATTCAGTGGAATCTCCAGCAGGTGTCACTGGTCTGTGGTTCAATCCCTGCAGGAAAGAAGCGCGAGTTCAGGTTTCAGCCAATCAAGGAGGCCGTGGTGGAGGAGCCTGCTGACATCACACCCTGGTTGGACCAATTAGACGACACCATGAAGGAGAAGGTTCTGCAGCTACAGAAGAGCAGGTGAGACACAGCCGTCTTCTGCCGGGCCCTCGGAGCCTGGTTCTGGTTCTGGTTCTGGTCCTGGTCCAGGTCCATCACTGACCTGTTGTGGTTCATCTGCCCTCAGTGACACGGAGACTCAGTGTGAGGTGATGCAGGAGATCGTGGACCTGATCCTGGAGGTGAGTGTCTCCTGGTTTCCTGGACCTTCTTCTTCTTCTTCTTCTTCTTCTTCAGTGGTTCTGGTGTCCTCCTATGTTCTGTGATCTTCTTGCAGGAGGACTTTGACACGGAGCAGATGTCGGCTCTGGCCTCCTGTCTCTCTGAGCTGTTCAAGGATCATTTCAGAGGAGACGTTCTTCCAGAAGAGATCACCGAGGAGTAAGACCTGTCAGTGCGTCTCTGCGTCTGCACCGCCCCACGTCTCCTCCTCTCAGCTGTCTCCACTCTCTCTGTGTCCCAGGTCCCTGGAGGAGTCCATATGTAAACCCGTGTGCCTGCTCTTCAGGAACCTGGTGACCATGCAGGAGGACAACAGCGGGCTCTCCGTCCTCCTGGAGATGTTAGCAGAGCTGTACCAGAAGCAGCCAAAGATCGGATACCACCTGCTCTACTACCTCAAGGCCAGGTCAGAACAGCGGGACGCACAGGGACTGTCCCAGCTGCCATTCAAACAGGAAGTGATGTCATCACTCTCTCTCTCTCTCTCTGTGTGTGTGTGTGTGTGACGACAGTACAGCCGCAAACGGGAAGATGGTCCTGTACGAGATGTTCGCTCAGGCCACGGCCCTGGGAGACCTGCACACCTGTCTGATGATGGACATGAAGGCGTGTCAGGAGGACGACATCCGACTGTTGTGTTACCTCACACCTTCCATCTACTCCGAGGTACACACACACACACACACACACACACTCTGCAGCAGTGTTAACCTACTGTCGTCGTCATCACACGTTTCTGTGTCAGTTTCCAGATGAAACACTGAGAAGTGGTGAACTGTTGAACATGATCGTGGCCGTCATCGACTCCACACAGGTAAACAACAACAACCACAACAACAACGACCACCACAACAACAACCACGATGACCATGACAACCACGACAACAACAACCACCACAACAACAACCACCACAACAACAACCACCACAACAACCACCACAACAACAACAATGACCACAACGACCACGACAACAACAACCACAACGACATCATCCTGTTCTGGTCTTCTCTCCAGTCTGATCCGTTCCACAGCAGCACTCATGTCTCCGTTGCCCCCCCCCCCAGAAATACACTATGAATGAATGGATTAAATGAACCTCCATCTAAACATCAGAAACACAAACCAATATATTGATCATCAAATAATAATAATGAAGGAAACAGTTTATATTATTGTCATAACCAGAGAGGGAGACAGCGCCACACAGTGGAGATATGGAGCTGTGTTGATCACTGGTAACTGAAAACTGCTATTTCATGAACCTCACTGTACATGACGGTAACACTGGTGTGTGTGTGTGTGTGTGTAGTTACAGGAGCTGATGTGTCACGTGATGATGGGAAACCTGGTGATGTTCAGGAAGGACTCGGTTCTCAACATCCTCAGTAAGAACCTGTTCTCAGTACTGATGATGATGATGATGATGATGATGATGAAGTGGCTAACAACAACAAACGCTAACAACAGCAAATGCTAACAACAACAAACGCTAACAACAGCAAACGCTAACAACAGCAAACGCTAACAACAGCAAACGCTAACAACAGCAAACGCGCTAAC